AGGTAAACACATCTCTAGCTTGTTCTGGGTCTCCACCATGAATTCATGTAGGTCACTCAGCTCTTGCCTGTGAATCGTCTTCTGTGAGATCTTCGAAAAGAAGTAGCACATGCGGGTGATGGCCATCTTTAGGAACTCTGGCTTTAAGCCCTGATTGTAATTGGTAGGAACACTGTCAGCATCACATGACAATCGTGAGCCTTGCAGTATGTTAATGATAGGTCCTTCGTCGACACTAGCTTCTTCGGGTTCGCCGAAAACCCAGTCGGCACTCTGAACCCCCTAAGGAAATTGCATATAGCTCTCCTCTCCTCTAGGGTTAGGTTGAAGCTAGCCACGGGAAGATTGTACTTGCCATTATCTTGCTGTACCGGCCAAAGCTCCCGCATCACATTTAGCTGCATCATGTCTTTCCATGATCTGAGACCATCCTTTGACTTGCCCATGTCCATCAAGGTAGCCATGAGACTCTCAAAGACATTCTTCTGCACGTGCATCGCATCAATGGCATGGGGGACCTCCAAGTCTGGCCAATAAGGTAGGTACTAAAGAATATCGATTGTTTCTTGAATGGTACGCCTTTGATGGGAGGTGTGCTTCTATCTCTGATCGTTCCATCCAGATTCTTCTTTCCATAGACGACGTGTATGTTTTGGACCATTCTGAACACATGTTCTCCATTACGACGTCTCTCTGAAGGGGGTTCATCCTCTGGGATGTTGCCATAGTATCTTAGGTATAATTTGCCGCGGTACTTGTGACCTGTCTTTAAGAAGCGCTAGTTCCTTATGTAAACTATCTTCCTGGATCCATATAGGAACACCCATTTAGTACCAACCAAATAGACTAAGCATCCAGTCTTACCTTTGAACTGTCCAAACAGGGCAAACAACGCGGGGTAATCATTGGTAGTAACAAATATTATTGCTTTGCATATGAAGTCCTCCCATAGGAACGCATCGTACATCGGCTCCCCATACCTCCATAGCCTCTCTATTTCTTGCATCAGAGGCTCCAAGAACATGTCTATATCAATGCCTGGTTGTTTGGGGCCGGAGATAAGAATGGTGAGGAGAAGGTACTTCCTCTTCTGACACAAATACGTTGGGAGGTTGTACATGGTCAAGATGACTGGCCATGTGCTGTGGTCGGTCATCCTCTCATTGAAGGGATTCATTCCATCGGTGCTCAAGCCGAACCGTACATTCCGTGGGTCATCACTGAATTCTGCTGTGTACTTGGCATCGAACGCTTGCCACTGGCTACAATCGGCCGGGTGTGCGATCGTATCATCATCCACCTTGCGCTCATCATCCCACCATGTCATCAGTGCGGCTTCTTTAGGGTTTAGGAACATACGCCTCAAGCGGTCGGTCACTGGCAAGTACCACATAACCAGGGCAGAAATTCTTCTCTTATTTGCATCGTTGCCTAATGGAGTTTCCTCTGGGGGCTGAGATTCTTGCACCACCTTCTTCCTCTTTCCTGTGGAGGCTTCCACCCCACTTTGAAGGTCATTGTTCTTGTACCGACTAGCCCCACACCTAGGACATGTATCTAAAGTCTCAAACGATGTGCCACGCCGAAAAAGGATACAGTGGTTGGGGCATGCATGGATTTTTTCAACCCCCAATGTGAGTGGACTTATAACCTTCTTCGCTTGGTATGTGTTGGCAGGAACTGTGTTCGGCCGTGGGAGCAACTATGACATGAGGCACAACAGATCATCGAAACTGTAGTCCGACCAGCTGTACTTAGCCTTCAGGATGAGTAGCTCAAGCACAAAACGTAGCAGTGTGAAGTATGTCGGACAACCCTTCTCAGCATCATACACAGTCTTCTTCGATGCTTTTGTCACCCTCTCAAGATTTTCTAGACCTCTCTTGCTCTTTTCTAATATTTCTGGTCCAAAGGCCCCAAGCATTTCGTCCAAGTTGTCACCGTCATTTGCATCCCCCTCACGTGCTTCGCCATCATTGCTGGCACCACCAGCATCATCACTACCTTGTTCATTACCAAAGCCACCACCTTGTTGATTGCTATAGTCACGATCTATTTGTTGCTCAAGATCGTTTGTGAATCGGGACAAGTATGCTTGGGTTTCAGCTTCATCAGCTATATCATCGTCGCTGTCATCAACAACCACTATTTCACCATGATGAATCCACACTGTGTAGTCAAACAAATCATCTCCTAATCAGATGTTCTTTGATGGTACTCACATCTCAAAATGCAATAAGGTTCTTGCAATCTTTGCAGGGACAAATAATTGTGTCATTATTCTCTTTCAACGTCGCTGCATGCTTCTCTGCGGCTTTGATGAATTTGTCCACCTCATCACGAAAAAGAGCGTCGTGTCTTAACGAATCATACATCCAAGAGTTTTTGTAGTCCATCTTATAGAAACAAAACAACCAAAGAAAGAATATTACCCGAGAATAATTGCATATACCTGAGACACGCACCATGGTAGTAGAGGATAGTTAATTAATTGACTATTAATGCATAAATATTTTAAAATATAAATTAATTGGTTCAAATAAATAATTTCAAAGAAAACAATTAGCAACATTTAATATTTCATCCACTACCTTTCATGCAAACTCCATTCCAATTTCATGGTAGAGGATAATTAATTAATGACATATTTATCCATAACTAATTAAAAACACACATTATAGAAAATAATCAAAATAAATATTAAATGATAATTAGTAGCCATGATAGAGGATATTTTACACATTAGCAATAATTAAAATCTTACACATTCACCTACATGCAAACCCTAGTCACATAAAGAAAAAATTGAAAAAGAAAAAAAAAAAATCCTAGTTCTAGATCTAGATGTAGGGTTTCATGACATATGCATCAAACTTCATTAATACTACACTAAAATCAACAAAGATGTACCAACAAAGGGTGCAATCTTACTTCCCTACCTAATTTATCCTAGTATAGTGAAAATTAGGGTCATATTTCACTCATAACTAGCTCAAGCTCCATGGAAGAGAGAGAAAACCAAAAATCAAATTACTCACTAACCAACGAATTAAATTTCAAATAAAGAGTTGGAGAAGCATTTTCTTACCTTTTAGAGCCTCTCCACCAAAGGATTTGAGATCAAAACTTTCCCCCTTAGTAGAGCAATTTTTAGAAGCCAAAGACCTCTCAACCTTTTTTTAGAATAGTGTGTCCCGAGGTGGAAGAATGGAGTGGCTGCTATTTATTAAATGCGCCATCGGTAGGGGGGTGGTGATTCACCCCCCCTCAATGTGAACAACAAGGGCGGTGATGATGACCCCCCTATAAATAAACACCTGCAGGGCGGTGGTGATTGAGCCGCCCTATCAGATTAGCCCCAACTGTAGGGGTGGCTCAGGTTACCAGCCGCCCCTATAGTGCCATCTATAGGACGGCTGAGCTGCTGGGGTCCGAGGACGCGCACTGTAGGGGCGCCCTCAATCCTAGCCGCCCCTACAGTAAAAATGTCCTCGTTCCTATATAGAAATCTGGCATAGTGATTCCCAGTTAGAACAGTTTGTTGTCTGAAAAAGTTGCGCATGAGCATGTATGCATGTCTCTTCTGTGCAGAGATGTCCGAATAATTACCCATTATTGCCCTGGAGCAGCGGATCAAGTTTCTTGGTTCTTCCATGGTCACTTCTTAACATCCATGCATATGCACAAAAGTACTAGTGTAGTGATGTTTCTACCACCAAAATCTAATTATACAATAACACCCGCAGTTGGTGGTCGTTGGATGAGCCTCAGGATTATGTACACACGCCAACTGATAGACGAACAGTATTTTGGCCGCTAGTTCTCCCGGTTGCTTCAACTCAATTTTACACGGTTCCACGTAAATATGCTGGTAACAAGTGTGCGTATGCATGTTATCGATCGGGAGATTTCAACATCGGTCGATCCATTCATGTGAGATGTGACGGTGAGGTAGTTATACGAGTAAAATGCACCAGCGGTCCCTAAACTTGTACCGCTGTGTCATTCCGGTCCCTAAACTCGTAAATCGATCTTTTAGATCCTCAAACTTATTCATCTGTGTCATCTCGGTTCCTAAATTTATTCAGCTGTGTCATTCCGATCCCTAAACTTGCAAATCATCCGTTTAGATCCTCAAACTTATTCAGTTGTGTCATCCCGATCCCTAAACTTAGTTTTGAGTCTCATCTGGATCAAATCAGCGTGATCTAAAACTTTTATATAAAAAATAATTCATAACTTTTTCATATGAACTCAAATGAAAACAAACTTTATATCAAAATTGTAGCCCTCGACGTGATCTACGACTTTGTAGTTGGAAAAGTTTTTGAATTAAAACTGTTTAGGGTCCCAAAATATTATTGAATGTTTATAGATTTTGAAATTTAAAATTTAAAATTATCAAACAATCTTGGATATTGATATGGTCTATATGAAAGTTATAGTTCTCAGTACGATCTACAACTTTGTAGTTGAATTTTTTTTTGTTTGAAGTCATTTAGTATCCCAAAATTTAATTTTAAATTTTAAATTTCAAAATCTATAAACATACAATAATATTTTGGGACCCTAAATAGTTTTAATTCAAAAACTTTTCAACTATAAAGTCGTAGATCGCGTCGAGGGCTTCAATTTTGATATAAAGTTTGTCTTCATTCAAGTTCATATGAAAAAGTTATGAATTATTTTTTTATATAAAGTTTTTAGATCACCCTGTTTTGACCTAGATGAGACTCAAAACCAAGTTTAGGGACCGAGATGTTACAACTGAACAAGTTTGAGGACCTAAACGGGTTATTTGCAAGTTTAGGGACCGGGATGACGCAGCCGAACAAGTTTAGGGACCGAGATGACATAGATAAACAAGTTTGAGGATCTAAACGGTCGATTTGCGAGTTTAGGGACCGGAATGACAAAGCGATACTAAGTTTAGGAACTGCCGGTGCACTTTACTCTAGTCATATCATCAAGTTCACAGCCTGACAGCCTGTTTAGTGGCTATGGGAATGCCGGTGATGACTGATGAGGAACAAAGGTTGGTCACTTCCGGTTACATGCATAGACATAGTCACATAGGACATTTGGACTGTGTATGTGGCGTGCAGACACAGTGTGAGCATGATAGACCAAAAGGCCTGGCAGGATGGCACTGGCTTGTGAAAATGGACCAACCTTTCCTAGCTAGCTAACTCAAGACTGCCGCCTCGACAGCAAGAGAAGTCCGCTATTTGAAACTCAAGACCATGGAAAACATTTTCAAGGTGGACCATTCGGGGCACCAGACCAGAGTAGTCTGCCCTTAATTTCTTTTTATTCTTTTGTGGAGTATATGCTAACTTTCTTTAAAAGAAAAGGACCAGGCTACTTTTCAACGCTTAGCTTGTCGAGACCCAGCTGGCCGATAGAGCGAGAGGTCACAGGCTCTCTCTGGATTCTATAAATCCAGCATTGCTCACATTCTGCTCTTGCCACCTTTGGATGATAGCCTTGAATTGAAACACTGCAAACACGTTCATCAGGAGCTCATCCTTTTGCCTCCAAGTGCAAGCAAAATTCACATTTTAGCCTAGCCCCCCAGGCCCCGGCCTCTTGCTAATAGTTTACCTAGTCCAAGCTCCATTCATGCCGGCAAACATGATCTCCAAGTACTGCATCTACTTAGTTTTCAGCTAGTTTATTTACGCAAGATATATATGATACATGCATATTTATAGTTAAGGATTTCAAATCAATTTAACAGTATGTCTCTCCCTTTTGTCTGATGATCCTCCATCTAGGTTCCTTGAGAAGTCTGTCCTTCCGCTGGATGCTGCACCCATCCATGTGAAGACTACTGGAGGAGGTACATACGTATACATACGTGTACAAATATGAATTAAAGATCATGGCATGGCTCTGTTTCATTGTTCCTCGTTGCATTCTTCGCGGTTCATCAGGTTTAATTTAACAACTTCCACATGTTACTAACACTACAATTCAGGTCCTCGGACCAGTGTGCTGCGCAATCCGAACATGGAGAAGCTTCAGAAGGGCTACCTGTTCCCGGAGGTGCCGACTTGACCTTTGACAAGCGTAACTGATGACCATGCCCTTCCTTCCATTACCTTATTAACGTGTTTGATCCTCCTTATTAAATATCAGATTAGCATTAAGCATGAAGCTCACCTGAAGAAGTACCCTGATGCCAAGGTCATCAGCTTGGGCATCGGCGACACAACTGAACCCATTCCAAGCGTCATAACATCAGCTATGGCCGAGGTATTCTTTCTTCTGTGAACTTCTCATCACTCTTCTTGCCTCCTTTTCTGTTGAACATGAACAACATGCATGCATGAGAAAGTTTGAGCCAATGTAAAGCTACATGAGGCGGTGTTTAAGCAAAAATAGTGTCAATACTTTTTTTTTGAAAGCAAAATAGGGTCCATTCTGAAGTAGCTAATTTTGGCGCACTAACTTATATTATTTTTTAGTGCAAATACCTAATTATTGTGTGGTGATATATACTTCTGGTATTTTTCATCATATATATAAACAAGAGAAGTGGTTTACATGCACGCAAGGCAGAACCTTCCATGCAGGGGTACGGAACGATCACCGAAGTATACTGGAAAATGCATGCGTGGCTGGTCGATCAATATTCTGATCAGCTAGCAAAAAAAAAAGTTAATTGGATAAATAAGATCTTACCATAACATTATATATTAATGAGATATTATCTCAAAGATGAATGCTATAAAATATATTGAGCAAGACACTGGAGGATCTAGCCGTGACGATTCAAACTTTAATTATATTGGACCCTGCAAGGACCACACCTACACACTATATATACCGATAAAAATTTGCTGGATATTAATAACGGTTCGGATGTGGTGATAGTCAGGTGAGCTTTCTAATTTTGCCAAGGAAACTAATTTGGGAGTGACAATATAGCCATGGCTGATAATTCTAGAACAACAGTTTTTTTTGGGACGGAGCAAGTATATATCAACACCGAATTATTTGTTCACATTATATACCACGTCGTGCTACCAGATTCTCACACGTTTCGCTTACATAAAAGAAGTTTCGTCTAGACGGAGAAGAACACGTTGTAGTATTCGGTAAGTGCCAGTCCCTCTGCCCCACCATCAGTCGGAAAAATCGCTAAATGCATGCACCCGTCCCGCGTCAGGTTCTGAATCTACCGTAGAAATAATGTCATTTTGTTTTACATGCTGCACTTTTTCTACCGAGAATAATGTCATTTCTGACTGTTTTGGGTCCTTTTTTATTTTACATGCTGCCACATCATTTTCACCATTTTCCACACGTAGAGCCACCACGTTTGTTTCTAAAAAAAAACTTACGTACAGCTACAGCTGGCCGATCCTTAAAAAAAAAAGAAATACACCGACCCAAGACTCCAAGAGAGCATTTACAAATATACTCCGTAGCATTCTTCGGTGTTCGGTCAACGGGATGTCTTCAGATCATGACATGCCGTGTGTGTGTCTATATATATATATAATATATATATATATATTCCTTCGTCTGTCAAGGTTTTCCTCTCGTCTGTGACTCTTATATTAGCGTCCTGCCGAAACGTCACTGCTGCTCTACATCATGGCCCTCCTTATTCTCACCATTTTCCACACGTAGAGCCACCACTTTTGTTTCTAAAAAAACTTACGTACAGCTACAGCATGGCCTCCAGATCCTTAAAAAATAATGAAAACACCCGACCCAAGACTCCAAGAGAGCATTTATAAATATACTCCGTAGCATTCTTCGGTGTTCGGTCAACGGGATGTCTTCAGATCATGACATGCCGTGTGTGTGCGCTCCCCTAAAATGACCTGCATAATATATATATATATATATATATATATATATATATATATATATATATATATATATATATATATATATATATATATATATATATATATATATATATCTTTCTATTTTAGAGGAACTACTCCCAGGTATTTGTAGTATATCAATTTCCTTTTTATTTTGGCCAAGATTATGTTATATTAGAAGAGTAATTTTATTTGTGGATTTGTTTAGATACATTACTAAATCACTTGTCCTGTTTTTGCAGTATGTACTTGCGTTATCCACTCCAGAAGGATACCAGGGTTATGGACCGGAGCAGGGCCAAATGGTAATGCAGATCCTGCCGAAACCTGCCTCTACACTGAACTCTAAACTGTAGTTAATCTGAAGCTAGGGATATCATGCACCTTATTGATTCATTCCTATGGAAAAAAAGGAGCTAGATTATTAACACACTCACTTTCAGTTCACTGAACCTGCTTTGCTTCGCGAACATGTGCAGAATCTGCGGAAGGTCATAGCTGAAAAAGTGTACCCAGCCATGGGGATTAAAGAGTCCGAGGTGTTCATCTCGGACGGAGCGCAGTGTGACATTGCTCGCCTCCAGGTACGTAACATGCTACACATACACGGCCATCTATCTAGGAGTAGTCCACACACGTGTGTTCAATTCCAGTTTGCTTGCTAAGAATCTCATCTTCTTCCTCCCGGCCCCTCTGCACGCAGACACTGTTCGGGCCCAACGTGACCATAGCCGTCCAAGATCCCACCTTCCCGGTACGTACGTGTGGTTACACAACCCATGCATTTTCACTTCAACATGCTGCCGGCCGTGCCGTCTCGCTCAGCGTCTCGATCAGGTCAGGTTCTGCAGCACGCAGTTGCTCGATCGATCGGCTCACAACACATGCATGCGCTCGCGTTCGTGTGCAGGGCTACGTGGACAACGGCGTGATCGTGGGGCAGACCGGCAGCGCGGACGAGGCCGGCAAGTACGCCGGCATCGCGTACATGCGTTGCGCGCCGGAGAACCACTTCTTCCCGGACCTCTCCCGCGTGCCGCACACCGACGTCATCTTCTTCTGCTCGCCCAACAACCCGACGGGGCACGCGGCGTCGGCGGCGCAGCTGCGCGAGCTGGTGGACTTCGCGCGCCGCAACGGCTCCATCATCGTGTTCGACACGGCGTACGCGTGGTACGTGTCGGAGGCCGGGGACGGGGAGGGCAAGAAGCCGCGGTCCATCTACGAGGTGCCCGGCGCCCGGGAGGTGGCCATCGAGATCTCCTCCTTCTCCAAGTTCGCCGGTTTCACGGGCGTCCGCCTCGGCTGGGCGGTGGTGCCCGACGAGCTGCGCTACGCCGACGGTTCCCCCGTCGCGCGCGACTTCGACCGCATCGTCTGCACCTGCTTCAACGGCGCGTCCAGCGTCGCGCAGGCCGGCGGACTCGCCTGCCTCTCCACGGAGGAAGGCCGGGACGCCGTGCGCCGCGTGGTGGGCGTCTACAAGGACAACGCGCGGGTGCTGGTGGACACCTTCGCGTCGCTCGGCAAGGAGGTGTACGGCGGCACCGACTCGCCCTACGTCTGGGTGCGCTTCCCGGGCCGCCGCTCCTGGGACGTGTTCGCCGAGATCCTCGAAAAGACGCACGTCATCACCGTGCCGGGCAGCGGGTTCGGCCCCGGCGGCGAGGGCTTCATCCGTGTCAGCGCGTTCAACAGCAGGGACAGGGTGCTGGAAGCTGCAGCTAGGCTCAAGAAGTTCCTGGCCTGATCGAGCGCCGGCGTACGCAGCAGCACTGTTCCACTCTAAAGCTCCAATGATCCTGCACCTGCACTGCTGATGTTATACATACGGACCCCGTACTGATAACGTACATGGGTACATGGCTAATAACACTGCCATGCTCTGACACGCATGCTAGCTGTGCTGGGTACTGATCAGTCCACAACAAAGTACGCGTACCAGACATGGCACATACATCTATGTATGCATGTTCATTGTTTAATTTCGATGATTATTATCAAGACTTCCCCTTCTACAGTATCGGCTCATCCATTTCTCTATTTGTATTTTTTGATGATCGGTGTTTCTCAAAAAAAAAATATATATACTAAGGCCTTGTTTGGATGCACGTATCCACCTCAATCCACGTGTGTTGGAGTGGATGTAATGAAATTTAGTTTAATTCCACTTCAACACACGTGGATTAAGATGAATAAATGCGCATCTAAACAATGCTTACATAGACTGATCCATGAAAAAACCCAACAAGTACAGGCAACACAACCGCCCAATTCATGACCCAGCCAGCTAGTGGTATGTGTAGTCTCCTAGAAAAAAAAATGATCCCAAATAGTGTTCAGCTCATCATTTATCTTCAAAGCTTGTGCAATAGGTACACACACTACTACAGGTGGACAAGGATTATTTTCGAACGATGCATACAGCATCAGGACGAAAATACCACTGAAGTTTATTTATTCTGATTAGACAGTGAAGGACCCCTACAGCGGTTGCTCCGCAGCAGGCAGCTCAAATTCACTTGTAAAACTGCCGTAAAGTTACCATGGCAGCACTTTCAGCCCATAAGTTTACCGCTTTCACTCTCTTCCTCACTTTCTTCGTCTTCGTCGAGGTTCAGGTGGTTCAGATTCTTCTCGAGAGGGGGCAAGTCATCATCTGAATCACCTTCAGATCCTTCCTGGGCGCTTTGCCGTGATTCCTCTGCCCCTGTCAATCTAGCGTCAATACCTCACTAATAATTTTTGTACTCTACAGACGCATAATTTGTGAAACTATATTACCATTTACGGGTGGCTTTGGAACACTTGAGTTACTTGATAACCATGAGTTCTGCACATTGATAATCTCAGATCCATTTTCACATTGGGAGTACGCTTTCAGGAGATCTCTGCGTATTGTTACAATAGAAAGGTATGAAAACCTGACCTATAAATACATAATGTAAACAGGGCATATCAAGTAGGATGGATACAGGCTTGACAATTTAACTGCATTTACTGCTAAAGGTAAACATGAGTAAATAAACTGGAATATATTATATTCATAGATAACTGAATGCTTCTATCCTTAGCATTACTGGATAACGATAACAATGTCGTACATTAGGAATTTAATAGGATATACACACTTTCTTGTAACATTTGCTGAATAACAGTAATAGTATGGTATAATCATGCATATAGGGGCATAGGGCAGAGTGGATTGCCCTGGCACCGTCCTTGAATTAGGTAAAAAGTAAGAACCCGGTATAATAATTTCCTCACAATAAATTAGTTAATTGGTGTATAATCGCTTCAGTAAGATTCACTGTCAATCTAGGTATGTAACACAAAAATTTCCACTGAACTAACATGTTTAGAGACAAGAATGCATGACCCCACTTGAATCCCAAGCAGCAAATGTGCTGTATCTTCCTCCCCACTGCAAATATGTACACAACATAAGCTGATGCCTGATAGTAACTAATTATAAATCAAGCTACAGGATTATGAGCCACATATTCCAAACAATATTGTTCAGCAAGGCCTAAAAAATTACCATATTATGAGGGCTGCTGATAAAGCTTCCACACAAGACAGTTCACATGGGCGACCATAGTTCACAGGATTTGCCGCTACCAACCATGGTACTGCAATTATTTAAACAAAGCACAAATATCTTTAACAAATCCAACTCTGGTTTACATATGTGAAGCCATAAAAGAGGACCTACTTCATTACATAGGTTCTCTCTTGTAGGGCACATAGTGAACGTACATATTTGGTACAAGAAGGAAAACATGAAAAATTCTCTTTATAACAAAACAAGCCAAAAGCACAATCTGAATTGGAATAGCAGGGCCTCAAACCTTTTTATTATCCCTTTTAACATGGGGACTCAAAACAAATAAGTTTTACATTATATACAAAATCATTCTCCAATAGTAGATAAGGGTGTGATTGGTTGCTTGGATAACCCTAAGCTTCCATAAGGGCTTATGCAGGCCAACCCAAGCCAGGACAATCTTACGCAATTAGATTGTGTTTGGTTGCTCTGCATAGCCAGGTTGCATTTGACAATATCATGTTTGGTTGATTGCACACGGTATCCTGCTTCTCATTGTGCTGTTGTAAGATTAAAATCTTATCATCTCCCCTTGTTCTCCTGTCCTTCTCCGTCCTTAATCTGCTGGTGCACCATTCTACAAGATAGGAAGGTCAAAGACGGGCGGCCGCCACTGCAGGCTCACAGCCTCTCAAATCAACCTTTGCTCTACTCAATCGAAGTTTGTCCCCATTGAATTGACATCAATACATCATCCATACTCAATCGAACTCTTCCCACCCAAAATCTAAGCCAAGAAGTTGGCATTGCCTCTGGGGGCATAGACGAGGTGGAGGTGATGCAGATGAACAGGCTGCACAAGGAGGCCGACGTAGAGAATGCCAGGGAAGGCGGCATACCGGCGGAATGGCGGATGACAGGAACAATCTCGAGCCACTGGACTCCAGTGCGGCCACGCTGCCGTGCTCGTCAGACTTGGACTCACCCGTGACCCCACGCGAGCGTCACCAACGCCGAGGTGGGCGCGGATGGGGAGGAGACAGAGCAGTTCGTCATCGACACCGAGCTGCTTGGCTGGATACCCATCGTTGACCTGCTCTGTCAGGCTGCACATGAGTACGGCTACGCGCACCGAGGAGCCGCTGTGCATCGCTGCTTTGTGGCCATGCTTCACCGGCATCTCAATGAGGGAGAGGGGCAGGGACGTGTGGCTGAGCTCCTCACTGACAATGTCTAGCTGGCCTGCAAATCCAGCTGATCTCGCTTGCGGGGTGTGGCGTGTTTGCATTTCGCCACCAGCGCCGGGTGGGACAGGCCGACGATACCTCGAGAGGAGCTCGCTAGGCGGCGAGGGCGACCCAGGGGAGCTGGTAGACGAGGTGGGGCTGTGCTATGACTGGAGCAAGTATAAAAGACATGCTTGCCACTGATGGGGAAGGTCATGTTGCTGCCGTGGAGGTGTGGCAAAGATTAGGTGATCCCAACAGCTGCACTGCCCAATCCTGCATTAGCTACTACACCCAAAATGGCCGAATTGCGCAATGCAGCTTAAAGCGTGCTCCAAGGACTGTGAAACCCGCATAAGGGACTATGCAGACATCCAAACGCGGGTGTCCTGCATTCCAAAAGCCTGGATACAGTCTAATGCGGGCAACCAAACACAACCTAGTATGCTGCTCGAATTCATGCAGAACAGGTAGGACAGAGTAATCCCAAAGACTACATACAACACTTAAAATGATTAATGAACATATGAATCACTGTCTTATTAAAAATTTAAAATTGTAGTGAAGTGCACTGGGCTTCCTTAAATTTAGGGTTATTTGGATTCATGCCATTATAATTTTCGATGTTCGGAGAAACGTCATTACTATTCGCCTATTTTGAAGTATGACATACCTCAAAAAGGATCAATGCAAAAGACTAATTAGTGAAAGTAAGGAAAGTAGGCTCATTGTAATCACAAGACTCAAAAGGCTCTACCTGAAAAGACCAAATGCAAACTGGAAGATACCAGTAAAGAATGTCACAGTGAAAACCGTTTTTCGATAGAAAGCTGGATCGATGGCTGGGTCAGCTATCTTTTGAGCCATTGATGAAAGCAAGAGTGACACGATGGCAACCGGTCCGATGGCTATCTCCCTAGAGGTCCCCATTACAGCATAGACACGCGGTGGCACAACACTTTGTATCTTACCACAAACAACAAAACCATTTATTCAGAACATCAAAAGAAAAAACAACAAATCCTTTTAGTCCGAAGCAAGTTGGGGTAGGTCAGAAGAACATCAAAAGAGAAAGAAAAGCAAAATGTGATTTTACTTACAAATACCATACTGAGGATCCAGTTTAGCCAGATTTGCATATCCAATGCTCTAGAAAATATCAATCCAATAAAGTTAGTCAAAATCTCTGTACATGTACTATATATGTACTGCATAGTAACACAATTACTTATCATTAAAAAAGTGTCACCTGTGGAATGCTAAGGCTCGAGAGAGTGAGACCAGCCATGAGGTCACTTCGGAAGGACTTCAGGCTGTAGTTTTTCAACCATTCAAGTATTGGAAACAGGCCATGCAGAATTGACATTGCACACACAGAGAGTGTGAAATGCTTATCTGCGCTTTGGTAATGAACTGCCTTTCTTAACATGCCAATGAGAACATACCACAGGCTTGGAGGCTCTGGACCTTGCAGCACCAGCTCTGCAAAATCTGCCCTTTTGGGTATGTAGACTTACTTGCCATGAACTCCATGGCTGGTTCTGAAGTGTTTGGGTGAATTCCTTGCTGTTGAGGGAACTGCCAAGATTCAATCACATCAGCCCTTTTGGGTCTTGCCATGGGCTCTATGGCTGGTTCTGAAGTGTTTGGGTGAACTCCTTGAGGGAATTGCTGAGATTCCATCACATCATATTGGTGCCTCCAAGGCTCCAAGATCTAGATAAGCAGCACAATTCTGCATGGATCTTGGATGCTTCACATATATTTGACTGCTCTAAGTTGGCCTTACAATCTGGCATATATATAGTCCTATAGAATTATGCTGAGTGCAATTCATGAAAGGAATGGATGTCCTAGAAGGGCTTGTGCCTCCTGGTCTACATGATTGGGTCTCCTATTCTTAAAATCTTAAGTCACATTCGTATGTACAGGAAGCCCATTGCGTTCTGATAATTGAATCCACAATGATGAGTTCTCTTTATCTCTACATGTGTGCTTCGTCCACAAAATGATTTCAACTGTACCCCAGATTTCTAATCATGGCTGTTCTACTAGGCAGTAGCCACCCTTGATTGTTGTCTATCTGTGCTAGTGTTTTCCAGTAGTCATGCAACTAATTACATGGTTAGACTTCTAATCAACGAGCTTCAGAACAAATCATTAAATCATACTATATGCCCTGGCACTGTTGGTAATTTTGTGCTTAGCCACAAGGGAAGACAAATCAGTAAGGGAACATGGTTGTGAAGCACACTTTCTCTTGTCTATGTTTCTAGGTTGCAAGGTTAGTCCCTTGTCTTGTGTGTGTGTGTGTGGGGGGGGGAACCTTTGCTTTGTGGTTTGGTCGCTTCTCCAATGTGCGTCGTCCGTCGCTCCTTGGTCATCTTTGAGGTTGTAGGTTGCATGTAATAGCTGTTGGTTATCTTTCTGTTGTTTTCTTATGGTCATTGTAAAAACTCTGTTTCCTTAATGAAATATGTGCTCAGCACGTTCTCAAAAAGGAAACTTGTTCTTTCGTCATGCTCCCATCTCAGTTGAACCTTGCCGTTTCCACACTAGTATTGAGAAAACTAGTATGAATGAATGTGCGAACATTTTTCTAGAGCAATATTGTTTATAATGGACTACACTGTAGGTGCCTGTGCTCGTACACACATTATTCATGGATGTCAAAGGTTGAAACTATTGATCACTTATATGAGAGCAACATGTCAGGCTTCAGTGGAGGAGCAGCAATCAGCACTTAAAAATGGTGGTTCCAACCATTACAAAAGAGTTCTCTAGAACCAAAACATAAAAATAGCAAGAGAAAAACAAAGAATAGCACTTAGAAGTTACAACTACCCGTTATGAGGATTTCAAGAATAGCATTTCGTATGTCTGCTCCAATCACGTGATCTTTGCCAACCAAGAAATTAAAGGCACTACAGAAAAGGTGTAAATGATTGAGCTTAAAGAGATTTGCCATAAATTCACAATTGCAGCTCTATTTTCAAAATAGTTGATTGAAAGAAAAAGTGTAAACGATTGAGCTTGACAAGATTTGCCATACATTTTAATGCACATCTGATACTCAAATAACTGCAAATTTTAACCACTATAATTTTCAGCAAACAAAACAGAAATGTATTAGTGTAACCATAGGATAAATGATGACAGAAGTAATTTATAGTATATAAGACAGGAGTTTTTTTCTACCTATTAATGAAATGACAGAAGCAACCCAAGCCGTGGAATCAGAATGTAACTAGACCACCTTTTCTACCTATTAATGAAATGATACGCAATCCTCCTACATGTTCAAGAAAAAAATAAGACAAAGGCTTATCTTGGAGAATGCCTCTAATATTCTCTGTGCACTGCGTATCATATGTATGATATAAGTGCTGAATCTAGTTGTCAGGCATTGATTACATCAGTGTTCTTTCTGAAAGATCAATTACACCATTCCTACTCAGCCAATGGACCAAATGACTTTGCCTTAAGCAAGATTTGAATCTCAAGATTCCACAGTGTGGTGGAACTTGCAAGGTGCGCTGACACTGATTAGCAAACTAAATGGTTCAACCTTTGTTTTGATAGAAGTTGACCTTAGTAATGAAACATGCTTGAGAAATGAATATTGCTGGACAAGCCAACAATGGTGAGTGGTGGTCAGTGACTGACTGGCGTGAGTGGTGACCACATATTTTGGCACTGTTCCCTGCCGTTTCCCCAGATGGGCCAGAAGGGGCATTGCAACCCAAAATTCCAGACCCCCCTGTTCGCTTGAACTTATCACCGGTTTATCAGCTAGAATCTACATTATTTTTCTCTCACAACAAATCAGCTTCAGCCGGCTTATCAGCCGGCTTTAATACCAGCCAAACAGATCTGGATCACAGCAAACATGGAAGTGGTCTGAGTGGTCTGAGTGGTCTGAGCACTTACTATGATATGAAGATTCTCAGTATCGAATGGAAGTAAGCATCAAGGGTCATCTCCAACACTGGACAAGAAAAGCCTGCACAGACGAGGGCTGGATGGAACTAAGTTTTTCTTTTCTTTCCGTTTCTTTCACGGCAAACAGATGACCCAATTGATTCGATAACAATACTTTTTCCTAATGAATGGCAAAAGCTTTGCCATATTTTTATTAGAAAAATAAAGGCAAAACAAACAAAAAACTGTACAACCAAATTACAACTTGCCAGGCAGCTAAACTCTGGCCCCAGAAACACACAAGCAATTGATTTGTTAATACTTGCACTGGTAAAAAGAATAGCTACATACCTTCCTGTAACATTTGCTGTGAAACTATATAGCTTTTCTAGAATAGTTTACCATTCATCCCTCTCTCTCTTCTCCTCCCTCCTGGCCTCCTCCTCCAAGCTTCGAGGAAACATCCAAAGGAAGCTGAGCTAGCTCAATTGGTCCAGGGTGTGGATGTATATCTAGACCATCTAGGTTCAAGTCCTCGTCGAGCCAGAATTTTTGTGTGCCTATTTTCTTCTTAATAGAATGCCACCTGGTTACCCCTAGGTCGGTCTAGGTTTTTTTTTTTTACCATTTATCTCAACTCTCAACTAGTACCACTGCAGTCCAGTTTCTACCAAAGTGAAACAAGGTGTATGAATGGTGCTTCTTTTTTCGAGGAAACTAAAGTTTTTTTTGGCCGAGTGAGGAGTGAGTCCTATATACTAGTGTCTACTGGAGTACAATGGATTTGAGGGATCTAATTTGAGAGCTATATTACTATATTAGAACAGATGTATTAAAAAAACCCAACAACAACAGCAGCAGCAGAAGGGAGCACGCCTTACTGCATGCCTGTACGCCCCGCTCCTCCTCAGTCCTCTCTTTTCTTCTTCTCTGTTTCTTAGGTTTCAAACGCGCAACTGTATTTTTTTAATCTCCTTTAGTTCTTATTAGGTCAAGGTTTCATCTTTGTTTAGGAAGAAACAGTAAAAGAAAAACTTGTTTAATTACTAAGTACAAGTACACATCATGAAGATAGCACCAAACATGTGAAGCTCAAGGATTGTCCTTTCCACGGAGGATTGTTTCCCGCCACGACCACTTCAGTCAATCAGTCATATCATAGGTACTTCGCCTCCATCAAGTGCAAGCATGCATTTCTGTTTGTCAGCATTTGCGGTAACACCTTCATACTAGGATGCAAAGCTGCCTCGCTTATGGGATTATTCTTAGCAGTACTAATACTACTAATTGACGCATGCTTCAACATTCGAGAGCTGTGCCTTTATGAGCAGCTAGACAGGCTTCCACTGCTTCACCTACTGTCATGAAGATCCAGTCTTCTCCGACTCTGTTGACCACCCGCGACACTTTCATCTTCTGAACTGCCTTCCATCCTGGACTTGCTATAGCCATCTGCAGGTAGTTGTTTCAGCATTATAACCGGGCAATTTGGCATTATATGTCTTTTTTTTTACCCAAACGTAAAGGTACCCTGATCAATTCAGTACTTCACCTGTATGCCAAGAGACACCAACTCCTTGTGTATTTCTTCCAGTGCCGTGAGTCCTGAAGTGTCGATGTTTACCACACCTGCAGAAACAGGAACATGGGTATGCACATTTTTGTATCAAATTAGCACTGAACATGGGTTTCACAGCTACATTGGTGTATATTCCACCTAATATGAAATTGAATTAGCTAAAAAAGTCAAGCAAGCATCTCCTTTTATAAAATCTTGGAGATTCTGGGGGCACGCACTTGACATATCAAGGACAACTGCTTGTATCCTTTCTCTCGCTTTTCCATTTGAGTTCTCCACTTCTTCCGGAACCCACTCTATGATCCTGATTGAACAACATTTGTTGGAAAATTTGTATTGAACATTTTATAAACCCATATTTATATATTGAGATTGCTAATACCTTTCTTTGATGAAAGTGGCATTGATGAAACAGAGGAAGGATGTGTCCATGCGTATCGGTAGTACGGTCGGAGTTTGGCAAGCTACAGGGTATTGTCTGATGCTGCAGAAGATATTTGTCCCTTGGAGCCTGCCAAGAACCTCTACCTGAGGTCGAAGCGACTGTATGATGATCTTTGCGAAGGAAATGGCAAGCTGCAGCAATCAGCCCCCTCACAAGTCAGAAAACGCTGAAAGACAATTTTCAAATGTGATTTTCAAATGGAGGTGTATCAAGCATGCATCTTACTGCAACTGCAAGTCCGATCTCCACCGATCCAAACAGGACACCAACGAATGCGCCAAGGCAAATGAGGAAATCCATCTTGTCGATTTTCCATATGTTGCAAGCTTCTTTGATGTCGATCAGCCCCGGAAGAGCCGATAGGATGATGGAGGCGAGCACCGCCATGGGCGTGTAGTAGAGGAGCTTCATGAACAACTCCAAGGCGATGACCACGGTGATGGACATGACGATGTTCGAAACAGTCGACCTGGCGCCCGCGCTGAAGTTCACAGCTGTTCTGGAGAATGAACCTGATGAATGAAAAACATCTGTCAGGATATTTTGCTTCTTCCTGAAAGATTGCAACAGCCATCACTCAGTAATCAT